CTAGGGGGGGATGGGCTACAACTAATCAAAACAATAAATTGTCAGTAAAGACAAAGACTTATTTAACCTTTTCGCCGCGGTTTGATATATCCGACTGCGGCAGTTTTGCAATACATACCATGGCCCGATATATTGTACCCTATACATATATTTACTTACTGGCCAGCAGAACGTCCAAATGCCACAATAAACCGGACAATTTGTCATGGATAGGGCTACATGTAGAAACACATTTTATCTTACTTTGAGTTACGGCTTTTGTCGATCTTTATAAAAAAAATTACATTGTGTCATCTGTGTTTGTAAACAGTAAACACATGAATGCCGTTGAACATGATAACTCGAGTAATTTTGGTTAGATTTTGATCAATTTGGCGTGAATGTTTAGGGCAGGATTAGTTTTATGAATGAATGAATAAAATGAATTATATTTATTGGCACATAATGTACAGAGTTTACAGGATGTATGTACAGGTGCTTTGTCATGAATAAAATTGTCCTCCGATAAGTTGTCTCTTTCCTCCTAGGTCTGCAACCCAGCAAGGCTGGATCATGGAAACTGGGTTTTATGAGATGTTTAAATGTTTCAAAAGTGTTTATTTACACTTTTACCCTTTAAAACATAGAAATGCCGAATTTTCATTACAACTATCGTGTACAGCTAAAAAAAAAACAAAAATGTTGTAGGGTAAATTTAAACATATTTTTGTATAATTGAAGGCAATGGAGAAAATTCCAAAAAAGTACATTAAAAATCTCCATGTTATTCTTATGGAGAAAAAAGAAAACTATTGTAGTTTGCTTATTTATGGATATATTGATCAAATTTGGCTAGTTTTTTTATTTCGTGGTATACTATTTCCTATCATTATTTTATGAAAACCCACTTTTACCCTTCCCTGTTTCAGCATACCTAAGTACTCATTAAATCTAATGTAATTAAAATAAGGAATAAATATAAATTGTTTCATTCTGAGAAATTGAAATTCCCTTAGTCTGTAGGTTTGCTGTAGTGGGGGTATTTATTTACACTCGTTATATTTTGTGTTAAAAAATAATTCCCTTTTCAAGCCCAAAAACCTATTACATTCATTAAACCATTGATAAGTGTTGCAGAGCTCATTAAAAATTATTCAATGTACAAATTTCTAAGCTGTAAAATGAATGACATTTATAAACTAAAATACAATAACTAGTGATGGGCCAATTCCTGAATTGGTTGATTCCGATACCGATTCCGATTCTACAACCATAGATGAAGTAATATAGAGGGTTATATTACTTCATCCATGCTACAACTTTGGTTTCGATTCTCGATTCCGCACTCGATACCGATACCTGTTAAAAATTAATTTAATAACACATATAACTTATGTGTGCTTCTCGCTATCCCTATAAATAAAGGAGCATGTTATTTTTATTTAATCTTTATACAATAAGATAACTGCATTGCTATTGATTAAGGTTAGGCTACATAATTAGATTATTTAGGTTAGCCTATAAGTAAAATAAGATACTTCAACAAGACATATATTTTAACATATTTCGTTAAATTAAATTGAGACAACAATCCCCAGTTAAGGTAGGCCTAAAATGTTCACTGAGTTTTTTTGTTTGCGTAAGAATTTGTACATCTAGGCCTACATTGAATATTCCATATTTCTTTAATTATAGAATCAAAATAATCTTCGATGTTGTTATCATCAATATCACTTAAATTACTTAAAGAATCACATAAAAGTCATGGAGTTTGTCACATCACTGGAACGGAGATCATAACCCATTTTGAACAACTCATTACACACGCACAGCAAACAAACAACAAAACCAAAACATAAGTTAAACAATTAATTTTCCATTTGGAAACTCACGACAGCTGTTTCACTTCAGTCAGAGAGAAACAACATAAAATAATGATAAAAAATACATCGCAAAACGGCCATCTCCAATAGTCACCATGAAGCCCTGAATTAGCTGAACAGTATAAGTAGGTTGGGGCATTGATTACGCATATACAAAAATAACAAACAAAACTTAGCGCCTACAAAATTTTGGGCGGACGACACTCGTACGCATGAGCAAACCCGCCCAATGACGACACTCGTACGCATCAGGAAACCCGCCCAATATGGGGAGGGCGATACTTAGAGGGTTAAAGGATCAACCATTGATTTTATACTCACGAATTGTATTTATGTCAATGATATTATACACAATGATCAGCAAGTTATAAATCTCTTAAGCTGCTAATTCAATAAACCGAGACAAACCGAGACAATACTCACACCACATTGCCTACTGTACAATTTAAAGATGCATATTGCCTATGTGCATATTGCATATTGTGCTATATTGCATAGAGGCCTATGTGGGGGTACATTTTAGCATATTTGCTGTACATTTGTACAGCCTATGTATAAAATCTGAGAACATCTAAAGCACAGTAGGCCGGTGGAAAAATTAGGCCAAGCCTTTAACTTTTCCTTCTGGAAACCTCCATCCAGGTGTTCAGCGTACCACACAGTGCACCAACTGTCAACTGAGCCAGGAACGAAATTTCTCTGTCCAGGGAACTGACAAAGCTCAGTGGTGGGCCACAAATTCTTCTAAATCAATCATGAACACTTTGTCTTTTTAAAATTAATTTCTACATAAAACATAATTGTCGCCATGTATTTTTGGAAACACCGGCACAAACATAATGCAATTTACAACTTAAAACACTTAAAATAATCATTTTTAGGAGGTAACTCCCGTGTACATGAAGACCATAAATTCATGTTCCATGAAATAACACAGGCAGATAAAACAAAAAAAACTTATGTGCACTGATTGACTGCTAGGCTGAGACTAAGAATACTAGGTGGTGTTCGCAGAGGCATCCACAAAATTGAGCGGAGTCATCAAGGGTTCATATTATATTGTTTTTGTCATACTGCAGTAAAACAGTCGTTTTTAATGCATGCGTTGCGGGTCTAAAGTAGCAATTTTACTCTTTAGGGAGTAAAAATCGTTTTTAGCCTCTATGGAGTAAAAATCAGCTGTTGTCAACTAAGTTGTATATTTCGATTGTAAACGATTGCATGTATCGAAAATATGTATCGATTCTTGCTTCGTAATCATTTTAACCTAATGTCTCTTCTCATAGCATTTTAGCATGGCAGATCATTAATCCATTCCCACACTCAACACTGCTCACCTTTACTACTTCCTTCACCACCCCCTACGTCCTGGACCTGTTTCCCTCTCTTCCCATAGCACTATAGGATTGCAGATACATTAATGTAATTGCCAAACACAGTTCCCACACTCTGCACTTGTAGCCTTACTACTTCCTACACCATTTCCTACATCATATACCTGTTTCCTTCCCTTCTCATAGCATGTAAGTATTACAGATACATTTATCTAACTGCCCAAACGGTTCCTCCACTCTGCACTGCCAGCCTTTACTACTTCCTTCACCACTTTCTACGTCGTGGGGCCTATTTCCTTCCCTTCTCATAGTGTTTTAGGATTGAAGATACATTAATCAACTGCCAAAAACATTCCCCACACTCCGCACTGTTAGCGTTTACTATTTATATCTTCATTTCCTATGTTGTGGGCATGCTTCCATCCCTTCTTATAGCATTTTAGCATTGCAGATACATTAATCTAACTTCTACGAACGGTTTCCAGTTCCCACACTCCACAATGCTCACCTTACTACTTCCACCACCTCTTCCTACGTCGCGGACCTGTTTCCCTCTCTTCCTGTAGTATTTTAAGATTGTAGATACCTTAATCTAATCGTCATAAACAGTTCCCACACTCCAGACAGCTTGCCTTGACTACTTCCTTCACCACTTCCTACGTCACGGACCTGTTTCCCTCCCTTCCCATAGCATTTTAGGATAGCAGATACCTTAATCTAATTGTCATAAAAAGTTCTCACACTCCGGACTGCTCGCCTTTACTATTTCCTTCACCACTTCCTACGTCACGGACCTGTTTCCCTCCCTTTCCATAGCATTTTAAGATTGTAGATACCTTCATCCAATCGTCATAAACAGTTCCCCCAATCCGGACAGCTCGCCTTGACTATACTTCCTTCACCACTTCCTACGTCACGGACCTGTTTCCCTCCCTTCCCATAGCATCATAGGATTGCAATTACCTTAATCTAATGGTCATAAAGAGATCTCACACCCCAAACAGCTCGCCTTTACTACTTCCTTCACCACTTCCTATGTCACGGACCTCAAGCTAGTGTCGTCATTTGATTATATTTATCCATACCGTTCCTGTTCTAATATCTGTGGAATAATGCTATCAGCTATTTATTTATCTACTGCATTCAAAAGTCAACAGCTGATCATATGTCTTTGTTTATGTGTCAAATACTGCTTCCATAAGGATTACATTGAAACTTTGAGACCCAGTGGGGCGGATTCCTGAGAGACTTTTTTAACGCCATATTCGGTGAGTTGACACTCACCGATATGGTCTTTATCATTATCACCATGCAAAATTTGAAAACGATTGATTCAGCCGTCTAGGAGGAGTTTGCGTATTACGAAATGCATAAGAGTCGACGTATAAGAGCTTCGCTCGCTCCGCTCAATAATATTATATGTACTGACTACTGATAATCTGTATTTTCCTAGATTTGTGTTGCTAAAGTTGTGTATTTGTGTTTTATGTTTGGGAAGAATAATAGGGATGGGCAGGTCCCAAAATTTTGCGAAAAACATATTTCTGATTAGATGTACTTTTTTACATTGGATTTCGTATGTTCTCAAGAAGGAGTTTTCCGGTCGTCAGCAATTTTGCAGCATCGTGGGTGACAATGATGTCTATGCAATCACATGATATATTCATGATGATTCCACCAATCCAGGAGACAATGATGATGTCTCCACGATCATAGGAGATGTTGACAATGGCGCCGCAAAAGCAGGACATATTCAGGAAGGTACAATGTGTTGCTACATTTGTGAATGTGGGTTTGTATGCAGGACCAATTCAATGAAGCCAACAGCAGCCTGGAGCTGGGGCTGAGCTACAACTTACAAGTGAGAGAGAGGCCGTTGTACCATGTGTTGCTGGGAGCCATACAACGTTACCATGGCGACAACACTGGCTGTGTACAGTCTATGAGAACTGCTCTGCAACTCAACAAGGGTATGTATGAACTTGAAAGCTCTTGGTCTTTAAAGCTCCGAGGTTGAAATGTTGTTGAAAAGCTGAATTTTCCTTATATCTCCTCAACTCTCGAGTTATTATTATAAATTATGTACAAATCTGTTCATGAAGGAGAGGTCATTGTCCTAGATATGCAATTAGTTTGAATTGGTAAAAATATAGAACACCGTCATAATTTTCAATAATGAAAATTATGACAACTAACTGTTACCCACGGGCTTCACCCCGTTTAACTTCATAAGTATTAATAAAATTATTGATTGGTTAAGTTAAGCTGAAATAAACAAAACAGAATACAGTAATACAAACAAATAATTACAGCTGAGGTATTTTTAACATTAGGTATATGGAAAGTTCCCTTTAGAAAGGAATTACGACCTTAAAGGGCAATTTATGAAATATTGGATAGTTTTGCGCAAGGTTCTCATCATGACAAACATTTTAAGTATGTGGTTTATGGGGTGTGACTTATAGTTTTCTCAAAAGTTCATGGGTACTTTGGGCTTTATATATAGAGATTACTTTAACTCTTTTAAAACCATCCAAGTTATTAATTAAGGTGTAGAAAGACCTTGTACCCTGTGCAATAGGAATTTCTGCACAGAGCTTGCCGTTTAAGCCCCCCACACACTACCAGACCAGACCGTCTGGCTGCAACCAAACCGTTTTGGACGGCTCTACACACTCCCAGACCAGACATTGCAACATTCGTAATTGAGACACCGTGGTGAGAACTCCAACAAATGGATGAATACTGTAGCGACGGTCGGTCGTCTGACAGACAGCGCTACACACTCACAGACCAGACAAAAATAGTGGTGGGGGAACCTCAGACCGTCTGTGGTCTGAGGGTTCAACCATCAGACACGCAGACAGTCTGGTCCGAGAAAATCGGTCTGCAGACAGTCCCACACACGATAAGACAAGTGCCAGACGCCAGACCAGACGGTCTGGTCTGGAGGTCTGGTCTGGTAGTGTGTGGGGGGCTTTAAACTCTTCCTTGCTCGTCACAAGTATATTTTTGTCCCAACATACTAGAACTGAAAGTGCATGATAGTTCCATAAGCGTGTTTCCTCTGTACCTTACTATTCTGTGCAGATATCAAATACAGGATCATAATCCGGAAGGCAACACCTCAAAAATGAATACATTCTCCATTGAATACCTGAAATCAACGTTGTTAAAAGAGGTCTTATTATCACCTCGGCATTATTATTTCACTCTCCTATTACTACTAGAGTAACACTCTCTCTAACTATAATGATATATTTGATACTGTGATGTTTAAAAAATTACCTTAGCTATTAAGCTAGACAACTTTGGTTGATGCTTGTTAATAAATATCCTTACTTGTATCTTTGTATTCCTTCTTCTGAATCTTATAGGCCTACAAGTTAAGTATCTTATAGGCCTACAAGTTAAGTCCTAGCTTAAATCTTATACAGGGTTAGGCAAAAGTCTGGAACCCCCCAGTTAACTTTTTAACGTGTTGCAGTAGGAAAACCAAACTTGGCACATATTTACAACATAAGAAATTGCACTTTTTCTTAAAAAACACAACCTTGCCCCATCCCCCAAAATGGGGTATTTTGGGGGCAGCTCCAAATTTTCAAATGTAAACACCTATCATGTGACCCCTCATTTTAAAGAATTTATCAAGAGAAATTGAGTGGTGCAAACTAGAGGTCAATATCGCACCCCTAATCAAAATGGCAGCCATTTTAATTATTTAAGATGAGCAAGCAAGATAAAGACTGGACACCCCCAGATAACTTTAAAAATTTAATATTTTAATACTGACCAAAAGGTGAATTCTCTTTTTTTTATAAAGGAATGCTGTGTTTAGTTTTTCTGCTATAACCTGTTAAAAAGTTAATGGGGGATATTTAAAAATGACTGCCATTTTGATTAGGGGTGCGATATTGACCTCTAGTTTGCGCCATTTAATTTGTCTTAATAAACCCTTTAAAATGAGGGGTCACATGATAGGTGTTTACATTTGAAAATTTGGGGCTGCCCCCAAAATACCCCATTTTGGGGGCTGGGCAAAGTTGTAACTTTGATGAAAAAGTGCAATTTCTTATGTTGTAAATATGTGCCGAGTTTGGTTTTCCTACTGCAACGCATTAAAAAGTTAACTGGGGAGTTCCAGACTTTTGCCTAACCCTGTATAAGATTTAAGCTAGGACTTAACTTGTAGGCCTATAAGATACTTAACTTGTAGGCCTATAAGATTCAGAAGAAGGAATACAAAGATACAAGTAAGGATATTTATTAACAAGCATCAACCAAAGTTGTCTAGCTTAATAGCTAAGGTAATTTTTTAAACATCACAGTATCAAATATATCATTATAGTTAGAGAGAGTGTTACTCTAGTAGTAATAGGAGAGTGAAATAATAATGCCGAGGTGATAATAAGACCTCTTTTAACAACGTTGATTTCAGGTATTCAATGGAGAATGTATTCATTTTTGAGGTGTTGCCTTCCGGATTACTTAACAATATTATTCCAGAGGTTAAATACCTTATACATACTGTTTTATTTATTTGTAAATATGTTTGTGCGTGTCTCGTATATTTGTTTTCAAGACTTAATGACGACCTCCTAGGAGTGACAACATGTGTTTAAGGCTTGACAATGACACTATGGGCCGCTTTCCCCAAATCAAGTTTAACTCTGATCGTGGTTTAAACTCTAGTTTAACCTCAGATTCACTTTCCCCAAAATAAATTCTCCGTTTAAACTAGGTTTAAGTTAACCCTCCTGGGCGAGGCCGGTTAACTGCCGATCTATGGGTTAAACCAGGAGAGAGTAATAACAACATGATTCGATTGATCTCTTGAAACCGTTGACAACAATATTTGTATGAACTTCGATTTCAAATTCACACAACCTAATTAGTTCTGTTATTTAAAATAAATAAGGAAAAGTTATGTTTGATTTATAAAGTGTTTATTGAAGCTGAAACTCATTTACAAATAAGCTAAATAGTACAGTTATTTCAAATAAATACGGAGAAGCCAAGTTTAGTTTATAAAGTATGATTGAAACATGAACTGAATGTAGGCCTAGGCTATTTGTCCCATTGGAGTCTTTAAAGTTGGCCTTTTTTATTCTATTTAAACTAGGCTATCTAGTTTAAAATAAATAAGGAAAAGTTATGTTTGATTTATAAAGTGTTTATTGAAGCTGAAACTCATTTACAAATAAGCTAAGTACAGTTATTTCAAATAAATATGAAGAAGCCAAGTTTAGTTTATAAAGTATGATTGAAACATGAACTGAATGTAGGCCTAGGTTATTTGTCCCATTGGAGTCTTTAAAGTTGGTCTTTTTTATTCTATTTAGCTTTTTCATATTATAGCCTAGTTTTTGTTAACATTTTTAGCCTAGACCTATTCAATATCAGTAAATTTATTGAATAAAAATAAACTTATTTGACCTTAACCACCAACCCTATTCCTGATACTGTTTGATACTCCTTTGCACAATTATTATCATTATCAATGGAAGACTTTATAGAAATATTTAATGAGTGTGAAGAAGATGATTTTAATATAACATTGCCCAGAACTAGAGGACCAACGAAAATAAGAGACCGAGTCGATCACTTCGAAAAATGGGACGAGTTTGATTTTTTTCATCGGTTTAGAATGCACAAAAGGACGGCAAATCTAGTTTTGGAGATGATTCAGGACCAAATATCGACAAAAACTATCAAGAATCGTGCTGTGTCGCCTGCCCTTAGGCTTCTTACCTGTCTTAGATTTTATGCTTCTGGCAGCTTTCTTATAAATGTAGGAGAGCTGAGTGGCATACACTACTCTACAACGAGTAAGATTGTTAAGAAAGTATCCGCAGCAATCGCCCGATTAAGTTCTGAAGCCATTCAGTTGCCAGCAGATCAGGAGGTTTTAGGCAAAATAAAGAATGGCTTTTACAAGAAAGCCCGGTTCCCAAATTGTGTAGGTGCCTTAGACTGTACTCACATTAAAATACAATCGCCCGGAGGAGACAATGCAGAACTTTACAGAAACCGAAAGGGAATTTTCTCTATAAATGTTCAGAGTGTGTGTGACAGTGAACTAATCATAAGGAACATTGTAGCTCGATGGCCAGGATCCACCCATGATTCACACATTTTCAAATCGTCCCGTATCAGGCACAATTTCGAGGACGGAAGCTACGGTAGTAATTTATTGATCGGAGACAGTGGTTATGCCTGCACGAACTACTTAATAACACCCTTAGACAGTGTGAATACTCCTGAGGAAAATCTCTTCCAGGAGGCAGTCACCAGAACAAGAAACCCAATTGAGAGGTGTTTCGGAGTGTGGAAACGCAGGTTTCCCGTACTCTCACTTGGAATTCGGCTAAACCTAGACAGGATTGAGAGTGTGATTGTGGCAACTGCTGTACTGCACAATATCTGTTGCAAAGAAAATGAGGATGTTCCCCCGGTCACCGAGGACGTTGACCAAGCAATCGCAGACTTACTTACTGTCGATGAAGAAGTTTTTCACAGGGTCCGAGGTGTAGCTGCTAGAGAGGACACAGTAACAAGAAATAATCTTGTTTATGGATATTTTAGGTCACTTTTGGCAAGACCTTAAACCGTTAAAAGTAAATAGTAGTAATTAAGTAGTGAATTTATTGTATAGGCCTATAATCAACAACTAACACAATGACTATGATAGAACTGAAATTAAGTGGCAGCCTATCTTTGTGATCTAGTGTTTGATTTGTAAAATATTTATTTTGTATCTTTAAGTTACCAACAACCAACCAACACAATGACTGTCTGGTTTTTTAATTGAAATGAGTTATCAGGGAGAATATTATTTACATTTTGTATTAAACCCCAGGTTAACAAAAGAGACTCGTAAATAAAATTAAAAACAATTTAAAACATATTTATTGTTTAAGACAACTACTAATATGTAGTAGCCTACGGTAACTTAATGTACATACTGCTCCTAAATCACATCATTCACAAGATGTTAAATGTTTCTTTTACACATTTCATTTTCATTTCTTCATTTTTTATTTTTAGATCAATAAGTTTAATTTTCTTTAAGTGTTTTTCTTCGATAAGTTTAAGGTTCTTCATTTTTAATTTGTGTTCTTCTTCAGAGAAGTATAACTGTTTCTGAGCAAGTTCTTTTTGTAATTGGATAAGCTCAGATTTAGCCTCTGAAAATGTTTCAATTTTCTTTCCAGCTACTGATCTATCTAACACTGACTTGGTTGGTTTTCTTTTAAATTTGAGTGGAGATGAAGTTTTGCACTTTAATTTGTTAACAGAAAATTGTTTATCATAGATTTGTACTGCAGGTTTGTTTGAATCTAATTGAGCTTTAGAGTTTTTTATTACAGACAAACTGCCACTAGTAGTTGGGTGTTGCTCTGAATGATTGTGTTTGACAGCATTGTAATTGTGTTCTTCAAGAGGAATATCAATTATTTCTTCCCCCAAAACTGTTGAAAAATCATCCTCATTCTCTACCCTGAAACCAAGAATGAAATAAGAATAAACAAATAAAAATATATAAAGTAGGCATATTTTGTAATTTATAAAAACTATGATAAATTAAAAAGTGTCAGATTTTTTGCGGCAACTTTATACATAATGTGCTGTCTATTAATGGGTACTGCTGTATTTGGCTAAATAATGATAAAATTGTTAAATGCTATCTTCTACTGAGTTTCATCAGTATTCAGTTCTAGTTCTGTTTAGAGTAAAAATAAAGGCGAAATAAACTCATGACTGCAATAGCTCAGTACTTTTTTGTCCAGTTTATATGATTCAATGATAAATTTTAAAAACATTCTTGAATAATAATGTTAAAAATATGCCTATTAAGTTAGTTTATTTCCATGCAATGTAACTTATATATATATAGTTTTAGGTCAAATGTTGTAGTAGGCTGTATGTTATTATTGTTGTTGTTAAAATATTAAATTGTTCAAATTGATTTTAATTTCTCGTTGGCTTTTTTATTTAACTTAGGTAGGCTATAGTTATTAGGCTTATATAATTTAAGCAAATTGAGCTCTTTGTCAATTTAGTTTTTGCCAACACCCACATACATTTTTGTAAAGTACTATTTCTTCACTGTGGTGGTGTGGATTATGGTTGAGGCCAAAACCAACAAAACAAGTGTCTATGAGTGCATAATGCATAATCTAAATTTTGCTCTCTGATTGTAAAATAACCTTATGTTGCCTAATAAAGGCTGAACTCTTGCCTGAGTGCCGGAATATTTCCTAGAATTCTAAGGGTGTCTAGAACTGTCCCCATATACAAAAAAGGAGATCCAGCAAGTGTACAGAGCTATAGACCCATATCTATTATACCAACCTTCGCTAAGGTCTTTGAAACAGCCATCAAACTCCAGCTAGTCTCTTATCTTGAGCGCAATAACCTGATGTCCAATCTTCAACACGGCTTCCGTAAAGACAGATCAACTGTCACTGCCGTCTCTGAGCTCGTACGTCGCATTCAACAAGCCTTTGAGGATACCAACACTGTTGCCTTGACATTATGTGACTTGAGCAAGGCATTCGATTGCGTCTCACATGACATTCTGCTTGCCAAATTAAATAAATATGGGGTGCGCGGTGCAGTTTATGACACCTTTGTGACATATTTGGAGAACCGACAGCAGGTCGTCTCGATAGCTGGAGCTAAGTCTCAAGCTCTCAATGTTCCTCACGGGGTGCCTCAGGGATCGGTTGTGGGCCCTGTCCTCTTTCTGATAGCCATAAACGATCTTGAGCTAAGTGGCAATGCACTCAGGTTTGCTGATGACACTACCCTAATTTCTGTTGGTAACAATCCAGGAACTGCCTCAGAAAGAGCTGAAGTGATGTTTAGGGCAGCAAAGGACTGGTTTGAGACAAACAAATTAAAACTAAACCAAGACAAGACACAAAAAATCCTGTGCCCACTTAATTCAAACTTGGCTCAGGACGTTGTCAAGGTAAATCTGCTAGGCTTTACGATTGACCCAAAGCTGAGTTGGAAAGACCATGTGGATAACGTGGCTAAGAGGTTGTCGAGAGTAACACATCTTCTCAGGAAGTTAACGAGACTAGTTGATAAAGCATACCTAGTTCTGGTCTACCACGCTTTATTCCACAGCCACGTTACGTACGGTCTCCAGCTATGGGGTCATGCAGCCAATGTCTCCAGAATTCTAAAGCAGCAGAAGAAAGCTCTGAGAATTATGACTGGCAGCGGGCGACAGGAGCACTGCAAGCCTATATTCGCTGACTTGGGCATACTCACCATACACAGTAACTACATCCTTCAATGTGTCAGCTACGTACACTCCAATGTTTAAATACCTTTACCACCAGACAGCAGGTGCATGCGCATAACACCAGACGCAAAAATCACATTGACGTACCCTATTGTAGGCTCAGCAGGACAAAAGACGCTTTCCCTGTCATGGCCCTCAGACTGACCAATAAGTTGCCGGTTGCAGTAAGGGATTTAAACCACAATCAGTTTCAAGCAAGGTGCTGTGTTGGCTAAAAGCTAGGCCGTATTACTCTCTCAAGGAATTTTTTGAGGACGACCTCACAGGACTCTAAATCTACCGCCATACAGTTTTTTAAGTTCTTTTGGTCTAATGACCATACAAAAGTCCGACTAATGGAAGTCTGTATATACTGTAAATAGTTTATATATTTTTTTTTGTAAATTGTAAATATTGACGCAGCCTATCCAGCTTATGCTGGTATCAAGCCAAGGAGGAGGTAATAAGGTAATACCGTTTTTATTAACCTGTCAACCTTACAGTAAAATACAGGGTTGTTTAACTTTTATGTCCAATTCCATCGTAATGTAAAACCAAAACTATCGTTACGTAGTTTTTGTTATAATGATTACTATAGGGCCTACATACAGGCCCTAAATGTCTTTGTGGGTAGCCAACTCACAGTTCCGCAGAGAATCTAGGATAATCAGATGAAATATTGTTTTATTAACTAAGCTATCAACAAAAATATTTCAATGGATATAGTAGCCTTTAAAAATTAAATTTCTATATTTATTTTCTGATGGGCCTTTTGCCTACGGTACTATTCTTTTACAGTGTGCACTGCGGCATTTAAGTTAGGTAAGTTAATAGGCTAGTTTAGTTTATGAAACCTATGAAAAAGCATAAGGGTACACTTCCGTACCTGTGGTCAAAAACAACCGAATAAAAATATTGATTATCGTTTGCTTTGTAGATTAGGTTAACCTAACTAACCAAACGATATATCAAATAAAACAATCGATACATCGATAAATATTTTAATTTGGTTGTTTTTCCAACAAATACAAATCTATTTACATCCTTTAGAATTTAAATTTAGGTGTCCAACTTATTAAAAAAAAACTACACAAAATACCAACTGTTGTTTTCCTTAATTTGACCTAGTTTGTTTTATAATTATGTAACTAAAACTGGCTGCACTTTACTTTAAGTTACGTCCTACACTTAAGTATTCGAATTAACTCAACTCAATTGAATAAAAATATCGATTGATATTTTCATTCAAATGAGAGTGTAGGACGTAAAGCAAAGTGCAGCCCTAAAACTTAGTCAAACTGGACTAAACTAACCTAGCCTAGCAACACAACCAAAAATAGTTTGCGGTAACTTACATTGGTTGATGCAAGAATGCTCCAGCATCCTCAGTCTCAACCTCAATTTCTGTGATGTAGGCGGCATCAGAATCGTATCTGGATTCTTGTCCAACAAGTGGTAAATCTCCCAACAACGATTTTATCTTCAAATCCATTGAAGTGATTAGAGATTGTTTGCTTGGCCCCCCCCCCTGTGCCGGAAACATATTTTTTCTCATCGGCCCATTTTCTTTTTGACGCTTTCTTCAAATTTTCATACTTGCATTTCAAGGACTTCCAATCTCTAAAAAAACAAACCACTTCCCTGATTGAAGTCCTTCTCTATCTCTTTCCAACTGTTTTCCTTATCTCTTACTGATACTTGGTCTGTAAGTTTGTTTTCTATCACTAACCTATGATTTTCTACCAAACTCAACAAAATGTTGATTTCTGTCTCACTAAAATTCTTGCTTCTTTTATCTGATCCTTTATTTTCCATTGTTATTAAACCAGTAAATTAAATTTACATTACAAATGTGTATTATTTATAGGGAACGAACTAAGTTACTGTACAATGAAAGTAAACAACCAAACACAACCTCAAAATGATTCAAAGTTGAGCGCTAGTATTTTTAAACGCTATGCAGACTGGTCTGAAAACCGGATAACAGTGTTGCCAACACAGTTGCTTACAAGAAAAGGCTAGGTTAAACTAAACTTCCATTACAAAATTGTGGGGAAAGCCATCCTAAGTTTAACCCGCCGATTAAAGTTAACTGAGATTAAGTTAAACTTGATTTGGGGAAAGCGGCCCTATGAGTGTTGAAACCGGTCGCCATCTTGATGACAGTGGATTACAGTGGCAACAATAAGGTATTTAACCTCTAGAATAATAATGAGAATGTATTGTTATAATCTTTTGTAAAATTCTTTACCTTGGATTCCACCTTGAGAGACAGTTTAGTATGTATATTGTAGGTGATGCATCTCTGTCCATGTCTGAGCTGGGGACGTTGTACTTGGAGATGGTGGCAGCTTTGACAGCAGACAATCATGCAGAAGAGGCTTCACAAGTACTACGAGAGGCTCAGGACAGGTGAGAAATCACTCAGGGATGATCTAAACTGTGTAACACATTGGATAAGATTAATCTGTATCTCAGTTACTGATAGGCTTGTTATGACAGACTATCAGGGTCAGACCAGGAATGCAGACTGACAGTAGCTCGAGCACAGTTGGCTTCAGTCAGAGGTGACCACATGGCAGCTCTAGCTCTGCTCGGAACAATCATGTCTGATCATGCCTACTTCCTGCAGGTACGGCCATTTTTGATAAGATAAATATATAAGACCCCTATATTTAGGGTCGGAATGGGCCAACGGTTGGCCCGAGGGATGGATTCGCGCCGGAAAAAATGTTCAGGCCAAGCTCGGGTTGGGTCGAGCCGAGCTTACTAAGTGATATTGATCGTGGGAGACAATGATGACGTCGAATATGTCCACCATTTCACCGAGACCGCTGAAAATGTTCACAATTTGGCCTAAAGCAGGAAAGATTTTGACGATTTGTTGTAAAAAATTGGGATCCCCCCCCTTATATTCGCCCCTGGTCTGTAAACACGATGACTCAAGTAATTTTGGTCCGATTTTGGTGAAATTTGGCTTGAAGGTGTAGGGCGGGACTTAAATGAGTTTGCGAACCAGCATGATTGGATCATGGGATCAGGGTTTTATGGGGTAAGAATAGGTTTTTCTAATTTTTGACCATCAAAACATAAAGTTTCCCTAATTCTCTTTAAACCATTTTAAAGAGAATATAAAAATTAATTTAGTATATCGGTTTTTTACGGTTATGTTATTGATTATGAAGAAAAAATAAATTTAAAATTCCCATGCTATTCTTATGGAGAATAAGTAAACTGTTGTAGTTTGCTTATTTATGGATACTAGTGATCGTCCAGTGGTCGAAAACTCGACCAAAAACAAACATGTAATGTACACGTATTGACTATTGGATACTCAAAGTTGACAAAGTAGATGGATCATAACAGTTGCTATTGCTCATAATAAGCCATTCCATAAGTTTGACTTGGTAAAAAACATGTATTCGACAGAAATTAGTCATTTAGATCAGCGACGAATTTAATAAAAAAAAAAAAACTGGTGACAACTTTAACATGGTGATGGAATGTAAAGGTACAGACTTCTCTATTTGCACCACACACTGTAAATAAAACATGTGATTGTAATTTCTTCCATTTGTTTTGATTTTCTGTTTATATTTTGTTGTTATTTCGTCACCAGCATGGCAACCCATAAAGCCCATGTTAATTTTTTTTTAATTTTAAAGGGATTCTGCACTTCTACAGGAAAATATCTTTCTAACAGTATAAGTAGATTTTCCCTGTGATGCACAGGAGCTGAGAAAAAAGGTTTTAAAGAAACATTTTTGCCTATTAATATATAGATAGATAGATAGATATTTCGATCAAACTTGGCAAATTAATTTATTTTATTCTAAGCTATTGATATTTTACTAAAAACACACTTTATAGTGTGTTATTTATTAATAAAAGACTCCCTGTAGCAGCAAACCTAGGTACTTGTTAAACCTAATGCCATTTCAATTATTTAATTAATTACCCCCGCCGCAGCAAACCTGCAGATTAAGCGAATTTCCATTTGCCTGATTGGATTTACACTAAAATATCTCTCCTTAAAAATATTATATTTATTCCATATTTAAATAACATTAGTTTAACGAGTACTTAGGTTTGCTGCAAGAGGGAGGGTAAAAATGTGTTTTTTTTTGTAAAATGTTAATAGTTTAGTATGAAATGAATGCATTTTCCAAATTTGATCAAAATATGTTCATAAAGAAGTAAACTACAACAGTTTACTTACCTATCTATATCTATAAAAGAGGAACTATGTATGTATATACGTTATGGACTCCGAAACCACTCGACAGATTGTAATGAAACTTTCAGGCATTATTAAGCATTATTCAAGGATGGTTTATGTGAAGTTTGGTGCAGATCCGTCAAAAGGGCTCCGTCCCAGTGGCTCTGGAGTTTCCCATGTTAACCTTATGAGTACTCATATTTAAATGGAATTAAAAAATCTTAACAGCTGGTTCAACTAACAGGGTGTCTAGTAGTCGGGAAAATCGGGATAGTATTGAATTTCAAAATGGTCTTGAAAAGTCGGGATTTAGTCTTAAATTTGATTTCAAAGTCGGGAATTTTTATGATCGGCCGTGGGAAATTTTAATGATTTTGCCACGATCCCGGATGACGACGATGACGTTTCCGTGACCGCGGGAGACGACAATGATGTCTACACGGCCGCTGGAAATGTTCATGATTTTGCCGTGATCGAGGACGACGGCGATGACATTTCCGTGACCGCGGGAGATGTCGATGAAGTTTCCGTGACCGCGGGAGACGACGATGATGTCTACACTGCCACGGGAAATTTTCATGATTTTGCCGTGATCGCGGACGTCTACGATAACGTTTTCGTGACCGCGGGAGATGACGGTGATGTCTAAACAGCCGCGGAAAATGTTCATGATTTTGCCACGATCCCGGACGACGACGATGACGTTTCCGTGACTGCGGGAGACGACAATGATGTTTACACGGCCGCTGGAAATGTTCATGATTTTGCCGTGATCGAGGATGACAGCGATGACGTTTCAGTGACCGCGGGAGATGACGATGACGTTTCCGTGACCGTGAGAGTTGACGATGATGTCTACACGGCCGCGGGAAATGTTCATGATTTTGCCGTGATCGAGGACGACGGCTATGACGTTTCCGTGACCGTGGGAGACGACGGTGATGTCTACACGGCTGCGGGAAATGTTCATGATTTTGCTTTTAGTTTGGCTTTTAGTGTATTGTAGAAATGTACCGTGATCGCGGACGACGACGATCACGTTTCTGTAACCGCTGCAGTCAATGATGATGTCTAAACGTACGGTACGCAGAAGATTTCATGATAAAAAAAACCAAATTTGCTGGTTAGAATTTTTGTTGCTGCATTATTTTTTTACTTCAAAACACCACATTATCATAATACTACTTTATGACAAAGAAAAAGAGTTGGTGTAGTATTATTTAGAAAATTTGGTTAGAAAAAGCTATAAAAATTGGTATTGGTATCAAGAATTGAGAATCGATACATTTTGGTATCAACACCCACTAATTGTGGAAAAAACTAGTCTTGAAAAATCTGGAATTAGTCTTGAATTTTATAATGGAAATAAACTAGACACCCTGAACTAAACAATTTGATTCTGTGATGTTCAATAGCATTAAAAAGGTTATAGGTTTACCAACAGGGTGCAGCTTTATTATTATTATTATTATTTTTATTTATGACAACAGCTAATTTGCAACCAAAAGGTGAGCGAACGAGCTAACCTGAAGGCAAGTGAGCGCAGCGAAAAAGCTCCAACCTGAAGGTGAGTAAGCGTAGCAAACGAATTTCAACCAGGACATGATTGAGCAATACGAACGAGCTCATCTTGAAAATGAATGAGCATTTGACATATAACCACATTAGGACAGGACAATGTCTGTCGGCCCAGCTAGTTCTCTATACGAATAACATGGGAATTTTTAAATTTACAGTTTTTTGGAATTTTCTCCGTAACCATTAGGCGCATAGTAACGCTTTAATATACTAAATTATTTGTTTTTTTAACCTCTACAAAATGGTTTGAAAAGAAAATGCTAAATTTTAAGTTTTTAGGGTCAAAGAATGAAAAACCAATTTTTACCCCATAAAACCTCCCATAAACCCCTGTGTTCATAGTCCGATCATGCTGGTTCGCAAACTCGTTTGAATAAACGTAGGTTTACACTTTTGTACCAAATTTAATCAAAATCCGATGATTTTTGCTCGAGTTATTGCACTAACAGACACGCGCACACACACACACACACATATATATGTATATATATATATATACTTACCTTACCTCCTTGGCCATTGAAACCTCAGAAGGTTTTTGGCCTCGTAAATAAATAATTTAAATAAAATAATTACTAAAAGGGTACTTTGTTAAATATGTTTTTGATTTTTATTATATTAGTAGCCCTAAAAATGTAAGAAAATAATATATATATATATATATACATATTAGTAAATTGGATAAATAATTACCTTTAAGTTAATAATTTATTGAATAACCAACATGTTTCGGCTGCTAGACCATGATGATAGTTATGAACAAATAGTAAATAAATGGAAATGTAAATAATCTGTAATATTAAAACGTGACAGGTTTTTTTTTATTTCACTATTCTGAATCAACCACTTGACGGATTTTTGTGTTGAAAGAAAGATAATTTTGAGAACTAGGGAATGTCGAAGCCATAATTTGAGTTTAGGGTTTCAGTTTTTTAGAAAATTAGTTTCAAATTTTAAAAAGTCTAGCAGCCGATGCTAACATTCTACACTAGCTTTTTGTATAATACTATTTGCTTAACGTAACAGCTGTAACATTAAGCGTGTGTGACACAAATTCAGCATTTGGATGAAAATGAAATGATATAAGTAGAATTGACTTATTTATACTATGTGTAATGCTATAATCATTGATAAGTTCATTTATTCGGTAAGAGGATTAGAGATTATTTAAATATAGGCCTACATATTAAAATACTAGATTTCTAATTTATTTTTTTGAGAATCCTTTAAAATATTTAGTTTTTTTTAGTGCAATATAATTTGTTGTAACTATCAGACTGGTTAAATAAAAAAATAAATATTCTATTGAACTACCGGTATGAGGTTAAGTTTATTTACTCTGTGATTTTGTCATTGATTATAGGAAATAAGTTAGATTCTATAACCATTGATGTAGGCCTATACGAATTGAAGCTCACGAATCTTCAAAAGAAAGCTTATGAATAGTTATTTGTGCAACTAGTGAGCAAAGTGAGCAATTGACTCACTCGAGAGAAACACTTACTCTTGAGCCGTAGGCGAGTGAGGAATGGTTTCTCGAGTGAGGCAATTGCACTTTGCACTCGAGTTGCACATTATATTTTTCGTACAGTTACCATAAAACAAATAAATTTGTTAAGAAACGTAACATATTTTTACACAGAAGTGAGCTTTTAATATGAAATTTAATGATACAACAGTACAACAGCTGACCAGCTTATTTACAGCCAGTGCTGTCAACGTATTTCGCACGCATACGACCTTGTCTGCATGTTATGCGCTCACTATTTCGTGCCTTCTCGTTGCAAATCTGGAGTGAGACAAAGTAATAAGAGTGAGACAATGTTAACATTGTC